GAGAAGGGACGCGCTGCGCCGGGCGCCTGGGGACCCGTTAATTCAACAGAGGAGCTTCTCCCTAAAGCTTTCCAGACCGTTAACAGAATAAAAGCAGGGCTCTTGCTGCTGGCTCATCTCCACGGAGAGCTCCTTTTTTTCACTTTTTTCCTCCTTTACCTCGCTCCTGGTTCCTTTCTTTCACCAGGCTCCCAGCTCAAATTCCCGCGGTGAGAGGGGCCGCGGGTTCCCCGGAGGGAAAAGGCAGAGAGAGGGAGAGCCTCTAGGATGAGGCCAACCATGCACCAAAAATGCCGATTACCGATGAAGCCCTCGCGGCTAATTCGCAGGAGGGGTCTGCGCAGGGGGGAGGAAGGATTGATGATGATATGAATTAACACCGATGGAGTTAGTCCTGATTTAAGCACATTGCAAATCAGAACGGGCGAGTCGCTCTCCCTGGCCTCTTTTAGGGAGAAACAGCAGCGCCCTGTCCTGCCCTGCTCTGCCTAGTTTTTAGGGCCATTACAAGATTTGGGGCTTGGAGTCGCATCCTGCAAGTAGGGGTCCTCCTCTGCCTTACAAGCCCTTTGGAGAAAGAGGCAACGTCTTTTTTGCTGCTGGGGTTTTCCCCGCCGGCGGATGTGATGGTTCGGTGGATGCACAGCCAGGCTCCGGACCCAATCCAAGAAACCTTCATGTTTTTTAGGGTTTTGTTTTCTTTTCTTTTCTTCTCTTGAGAGATTTTTGTTGGGGCATTTGGTGAAGGGAAGAAGCGGAGGGAAAAGGGGCGCATGACATTGGATCGTGTCACTGACCTGGTTTCGAGCACAACCAGATCTCTGCTGCCCAGGAGCCTGGGAGGGCAGAAGGAAAAGCAGTGAAGGGAAACAATCGAAAATGGCTTTTTCTGCCAGAGAAAACATTTGTGGAACTGCAGGCTTAGACAGTGGCAAAAAAAAGGATAGGCTGGAAAGGGGCAAGGAAAGGGGCAGGTGGAAAAACTGACCCCAGACATGAGCTGGGAGAGTTCGAAAAAACCAGTCCTGGAAAAAAGAAAATACTCCCAGGACCCAACTCCAGGAGCTTTCCTATCCTTTGACCCAACAAATCAATTAAAATAATCACAATGCAAACATTGCATGAATCGAACCAGTAATAAAATTATCCTAAGCATAAATCTAATACAGAAAGTCCGGGAGGGTTTTAGATGGTAAGAAACACAAGGAAGTGACCGCAGACGAGTTGTGCAAGCCTGCATGCAGCTGCAGGTGGAAACCTCGGTGGGAATGAGAGCTCGTGCCGGGCCACAGCTGCTCAAGGCACCACCCTACTCTCTTATCGCCCAAATTTTGCTGCAAATGCAGCAATCAACGTTTATTCCCATCTCCTCAAGCACTTCTCGTCTGGCTTTATTTTCAGAGCAGGCTCTTTGTACAGCTCCTGGCGTTAACGGGCACGGCGGAGCTGCTGTTGAGTTTGGTCAGGCTAGACCGAGCTAATACCTGCTGAAAAGCTGGTCCTCTCCTCTTGGCACCGGTCTGACCCTGCAAGGAGCTGGTTCAGATCACTGAACCAGCAGAAAATGGGTCACTTCTCTCTCTTTTTTTTTTTTTTTTAGGCTACTTTTCTGCTGTTTTAGCTCCTCAGTATGGGTCGTGGCTGAGAAAAATGATTGCTGACACCGACCCAAAGGGGAGCATCGGATCAGAGCCACCTGTGACAGCAGGTCCGTAAAGCCCCACCAGCTCCTTCCCATCATGCGCGATGTACTTTCGCACGGGCCATGTCCCCGATTGGGTTGGTTTTGTCTCTCTTGGGGGTATATTTGCGTGCTGGGAGTACATGTTTTCCTGTGGGGCATGGCTGTTCTGGCCACCTTGGCCCCATGGCTAGCTCTGTGACGCCTGTGGCATGTCCACCCCCACGAATGTACAGGGGAGCCAAGCACCTGCCTGGCCTTGAACCCCCTCCCTGGTGCCTCAGTTTCCCTCTTGCAAAACAGAGCATTAACCTTCATCTCTCAGGCTGGAAGACATGGTTCCTCCATTCACACCAATCCTGCCCCACATCCCCTGATGGAGGGATGCACCCTTTGCACCCAAAGCCTGCATCCCCCCCGTTTCTTGTCCCCTGCACCCTCTATAGGTGATGCCCTAGTGTCAGGGTATAGGTGGCCCTGGTGTGCCATGCCCAGCTGGTGCCCGTGCATGGTGTCCCAGACGGCCCAACACCAGTGCCGATCCTGGTGCCAGTCCCTGGCAGAACAGGTTCCAGTTCCCAGCTAGTCCTAGTTCCAGTTCCCAGTGCCGGAGCAGTGCCAGTCTCAGTGTTCGTCCAAGTGCCAGCACCTGAGAGGTCCCAGTTCCCAGTGCCAGTGCCTGGGTAGTCCCAGTGCTGGTCCCAGTTCCCAGTGTGCAGGTGGTGGTGCTGGTACCAGTGGCTGAGCAGTCCCAGTTCCTGGTCCCAGTTCGTGGTGCTGGTCCCAGGTCCAATGCGGTCCTGGATCATGATGCCTGGGTGGTGCAGGAGCCAGTTCCCAGTGCCAGTTTCTGGTCCCAGAACAGTGCCAGGCAGTGCCAGTCCCAGTGCCAGTTCCTGGTGCAGGACCAGTGCCAGGCAGTACCGACCCCAGTGCCAAGCAGTGCCAGTGCCTGTGTGGGATCCTGGTCCTGTATCAGTGCCAGGCGGTACTGATCCCAGTGCCGACCAGTGCCAGTGCCTGTGTGGGTTACTGGTCCTGGATCAGTGCCAGGCAGTACCGATCCCAGTGCCAGGCCATGCTAGTGCCAGTGCCTGTGTGGGTTCCTGGTGCTGGACCAGTGCCAGGCAGTGCCAGTCCCAGTGCCTGTGCCGGTTCCTGGTGCTGGACCAATGCCAGGCAGTATGGGTCCCAGTGCCAGGCAGTGCCAGTCCCAGGACTGGTTCCTGGTGCTGGACAGTGCCAGGCAGTACCGATCCCAGTGCCAAGCCAGGCTAGTCACAGTGCCCGTGTGGGTTCCTGGTGCTGGACCAGTGCCAGACAGTATGGGTCCCAGTGCCAGGCCATGCCTTTCCAGTGCCTGGGCTGGTTCCTGGTGCTGGACCAGTGCCAGGCAGTGCCAGTCCCAGTGCCAGTCCCAGGACCGGTTCCTGGTGCTGGACCAATGCCAGGCAGTACGGGTCCAGCGCCAGGCAGTGCCAGTCCCAGGACCGGTTCCTGGTGCTGGACCAGTGCCAGGCTGTACTGGTCCCAGTGCCAACCAGTGCCAGTCCCAGGACTGGTTTCTGGTGCTGAACTGGTGCCAGGCAGTACCAGTCCCAGTGCCAGTGCCACTGCCAGTCCCAGGGCCGGTTCCTGGTGCTGGATCAGTGCCAGGTGGTACCAGTCCCAGTGCCAGTCCCAGGACCGGTTCCTGGTGCTGGACCAGTGCCAGGCTGTACTGGTCCCAGTGCCAACCAGTGCCAGTCCCAGGACTGGTTTCTGGTGCTGAACTGGTGCCAGGCAGTACCAGTGCCAGTGCCAGTGCCCCGGTCACGGCCAGTTCTTGATCCTGAACCGGTGCCAGGCGGTACCGGTCCCAGTGCCAGCTCATTGTGCTGGACCAGTGCCAGGCAGTACAGGTCCAGTGCCAGGCAGTGCCAGTCCTAGGACCGGTTCCTGGTGCTGGACCAGCACCAGGCAGTACCGGTCCCAGTGCCACTGCCAGTCCCAGGGCCGGTTCCTGGTGCTGGATCAGTGCCAGGTGGTACCGGTTCCAGTGCCAGTGCCACTGCCAGTCCCAGGGCCGGTTCCTGGTGCTGGATCAGTGCCAGGTGGTACCGGTTCCAGTGCCAGTGCCACTGCCAGTGCCAGTTCTTGATCCTGAACCGGTGCCAGGCGGTACCGGTCCCAGTGCCAGCTCATTGTGCTGGACCAGTGCCAGGCAGTACGGGTCCCAGTGCCAGGCAGTGCCAGTCCCAGTGCC